GACGTAAGACCAGCCTGGCCAGGAGAGGGAAGAAGGCCAGAAAAACAGCGCTCACTATGAGCCCACCAAGCACCAAGGGGCCTCAGTCCTGCCAATGCAGGGTTCATTAGCCCCACTTTTTTTTTTTTTTAAGATTTTATTTATTTGACAGAGATCACAAGTAGGCAGAGAGGCAGGCAGAAAGAAAGAGAGGAAAGCAGGCTCTCTGAGCAGAGAGTCTGATGCAGGGCTCGATCCCAGGACCCTAGGATTATGACCTGAGCCGAAGGCAGAGGCTTTAACCCACTGAGCCACCCAGGCACCCCCTCCACTTTTTTTTAAATAAATCTTTTTTTTTTTTTAAGATTTTATTTTATTTATTTGACAGAGAGAGAGATATTGAGAGAGGGAACAAACACAAGCAGGGGGAGTGGGAGAGGGAGAAGCAGGCTCCCCACTGAGCAGGGAGCCTGATGCCAGGCTCTATCTTAGGACCCTGGGATCACGACCTGAGCCGAAGGCAGACACTTAACCGACTGAGCCACCCAGGCACCCAACCCCATTTTTTGCAATTACAGATGTTAACTGGTGTGATACATGCTCATTGTAGAAAAAAGAGAAAATGCAGTTATTCAGAGAGTGGAGGGGAAAATCCACCATGATAATCAAGTCATAAGAGAAAAAATTAACTTCTCAGTGCCTGTCTTTCTGGATTGCTTTTTCCTCAAGCAGGAGTATCCTTATGAGTTTACCCAAAGAACTCATTAAAATTCAGGTGCCTGGGCTCAAACTCAGAATTCTGACTTCTAAACCTTTTACTTTGGGGGAGGGGGAGAGCGTATGTGTATTTGTTCCAAATGAGATCGCAGGCGACATACCAGTTTATAACTTGCCTTTCTCTTCCTAACAATGGGCTATGAGCCTCGATCCCTTATCAATGGATTTATATCGAGCATGTTTTCTACAAGCCTGGGGTCCTCTGCTCTGTGGCAGCTGTACTGGGGCTTATTGTTCCGGTCCCCAATCATAGGACATCTGGGTTGTTTCCTGGCATTCCCTATTATAATTATCCCCAGTTAACAGGTGGGGACATCGAGGCCTGGAGAAATCCCTCCCATGGATGAAAAGCTAAGGCATCATCCAAGCGGAGCTGAGGGTGGCCTGGGTGCTGGGGGTGGTTTCCAGCCTCACTCTGGGCGAGGCTGAGGGGCCCTGAGTGGAGGAAGAAGCTCTGGTGGAAGCCCCCAGACAGAAGACATGGGAGCCATCAGAGGGGAGGTGGTGGGGGCAGTTGGGGAGGGGACCACCCTCTTCCAGGCCCCTAGACCCAGCACGCTGCAGGCCTGAGCCCTGCCCTCTCGGGCTCCCCCCAGCCCTTGCACTGCCTCCCGCCCTGAGCCCACTTGCTGTCTGCTCCATCTTTGCCAGCTTATCAATAGGTTAAGTGGTCAGGTCAGCGATATTGACCATTTGATTAGGACCTTGTCAGATCAATCCCAGGCTCATCTCATGGGCCTCCTCCCCTGCTCACACGCCCCCACCCTGTTCCTCCACGCCAGGGAGCAGGTGGCGGCAGAAGCTTCTGCCCTCCCCTACGCAGCACCCCAGGACCAGGAGCCCTTTTGCAAGTTCAGAGAAGGTGAGAGCCAGCCTTGGCCTTGCACCTCCCATTGTGGTCCTGCCAGGTCCAGAGCCCAGAATGCCATCTCTGGTTCTGCCTCTGCCTTGCTTCCCCCATCCCGTGGGGGCCCCTCCAGGTCCTCAGTCACGGTGCTTGGCTCCTGCACCCTCTGCTTACATCAAATTCTCTTGTCAGTCATCGTGAGATCTTATTTGCTTTGTGCCCCGTGTCTCTCAGAATCCAGGTAGATGGAGCTGCTCCTTCCTGGCTGTGTGACCTTGGGCAAGGCACTTCACCTCTCTGAACCTCCACCTCCTCGTGTGTTATCTTGGGGATGATCATCACCCAACGGGTCGTGAGGATACTGTGAGATTACGTCCACAGAGCAGCTAAGCATGCCCGGCGGCCTGGCCTGTAGCTAGCGCTCTGGGAGCACCAGCCATCCTCCCTGAGGGCCACCCAGCTGAGCCCATGCAGCTGCTGTTTGTGGGGGCCAGTGGCCCCGCCCGTCGGTCCCTTGGTGGGAGTGTAGGTAGGGCAGTGTGTGTGGGGGGCCACACCCTGTACTGGGTGATGCTGGGGAGCCCCGAGGAGCCAGGCCCAAGCCTACCCTTCCAGAGCTCACCCTCAGGCAGGCGCGTGGCAGCCCAGCTCAGCACCAGGACACACAAACTTTGATACTGTTTTTGAGGAGAGCTGGGCACTTTCTCTCCTTCTCTGGGCCAATAGCAGAACCCTCCCCTTCTCTGTGGCCTGGCTAGCTGCAAGGAATACAGGAGTCAGAGAATTCAGGATTCAAGGCCCAGTTCGTCTGCAAGACAAGCCAGCTGCTTCCCCTCCCTGCCCCTCAGAGTCCCCATCTGTGAAATGGGGAGAAGGCATCCTTGAAAGGGCTTCTGCCATCTTCCAGTCCCCAGGCACTGCTGGGGAGGTGGCTGCCAGCTCCCACAGGGCCATCTGCCTGCTGCATAGGGGAGATGGTATTTACTGGGGAGAGAGGTCTGTCAGAGGACATATGGGGGTATGGGGGCTGGGAGAAGAGATGAGGAGGATGGGCCAGGGCTAGTGCTCCCCACAAGCCTGGGGGATTGCTGCTGAGGGTGGCAGAGTGCGGAAGGGAGAGCCAGCGTGGGGCGCTGCCCCGGGGAAGACCCCAGCCCTCGGGCACTGTCTGACTCGGGGCTCCTCAGAGGCTCAGGGATTCCCCCGCCCGCCCGCCATCACTTACACCAATATTGACGGTTAATGCCGTGTCGCCACCGTGTTCAACACTCAGCGCGGCTAATTGTTTTGACTGGGAATCGGCAAGGCGATTAAACGCCATCGATTTTGCCCTGCGCGCTGCATCGATTTTTAAATTTCCTATTGATCCCGGCCCTAAATCTCCTTAACCAAGACCTCACCGTGGAGATGACAGCCGCTGATTAGCTCTGGGCAGGGGTGGGGGGGTGGGGGGGTGGGGGGGAGCAGCTCTTGAATGGGGAGAAACTCCAGCTCCTCCCCCCACCCCGGCAGGGAACAGGGGTACTGGTTCCCTCCCAACCCTGAAGATGGAGGCCCTGGTAGAGAAAGGGAGTGAGGGGGTGTAGGGGGGCGGACCCCTTTTTTTCTTCCTCCTTTGGGCTTTTCTCTGGTCTCTGCCTGTGGCTCCCTCCACTCCTCTCTGTCTATGTCTCCCCATTTGTTCTCTTCTCTTTCCTATCCATCTCTCTGTCTGTCTATCCGTCCATCATCTGTCTACTGTCTCAGTCCATCTTTTTCTCTTTCTCTTCTGTCCTTCTCAACTCCTATCCAGCCTCCACTAATTCTTTGTGTCCTTGGCTGGTCCTGGGCCTCAGTCTCCCCATCTGTGCCAACATATTTGCCACGAGATAGGAAAGTCATGTGCCAAACTTCTAGGTCTATGGCCATCCTGCCTGTCGCCCTGTGGTCTCCCCTCTTGGGAGAGCACCCACAGTGCAACAAAGGTGTGAGACAACTGTGGCCTCCTCAGCTTCGTTAGCTCCTTTCACAGGGGTGCTTGTCACTGTAAACTTATCAGTACCCTCCTGGTGGAAGGGTCTCCCTGACATCCTGTCTCCTCTGGGAAGTCTCTCCCTAGCCTACCATCCCTGCTCCTTCTCTGAGAGCCCACAGCAAGCAGGGGCAAAGGTGATCTCTGTGTGGGTTCCTTTTCCAGGAAGACCATATTCCCAGAAGGCAGGAAGCCAGGTTTCAGGAGGAGGCACACGGTCTTAACTCTCTAACCAGCTCCACAGGACCCCAGGGAAGTTAGATCTCCTCTGAGCCTCGTCTGCCGCATCTGTAAAGTGGGGCTGATACCAGCTGTCACTCTGCCTCCCTGCAGGAGTGCAGGGAGGCTCAGTAAACACTCTCTGGGGACAGGTCTCCCCATGTCCTCCCTGTCCTCTCCATCTTCTGCACAGCACCCAGAGGGACCTCCCTAAAGACTAAGTGGAGTGTGTCCCTCCTCCTAGCTGCTTGGCTCAGGGCCTGTGGGCTATGGTCCCTGCTGTCTCGTCTTTCCCACTTCCTCCTTGTCCCCTGGTCAGGGGGAGGCCTGACATGCTCTTCCTTTCCACCCTCTGCCTGACTAAAGTTTATTTGTCTGCTGGGCTTGGCTTGGGGGTGGCACCCTCCTTAGGTCTTCCCTGACCTCCTTGAGAGTTCCGCAGCACCCTCTGCTCACCCCAATGTGTTGATGTTGGTTCTTTATTTTGCTTCCCCCCACAAATTGGCTGTGAGTCCTTGGGCAGACAGGGCAGGGGCCTTGTCCAATGCACCTCTGCGCCCCCACACTTGGTCCAGAGCTCAGGTCAGACACGCTTCAGTATCTGCTGATTAATCCAGGGAATAAATGAATGAACAAATATACAAGTCAGAAAAAATATCATCTTTTCTGGACATTTATCTTCATCTCCTTGCAGCACACAGGTACCCAATAATGAGTAACTCTTTCAGATGTCTTTCACATCTGCTCCTCCCAACTGTCCCCTTGAGATACAGAGTTTGTGAGTTAGTTAATCCCTCCGTCCATCCACCCATTCACTCCTCACCCATCATTGACTTTGGAGCTCCCTGCGTTTTGCAGGGCCCTCTGCCAATGGCTAACGCTGTAAGACATAGTCCCTGCCCTCCACCTGGTTAGAGAAACAGATGTTCAACAAGGCAGGCAGCAGGATGCCCATTTATGAGATGGGTACACTGAGGCTCAGAGCCCAGAAATGACCACTGAGGGCAGCAAGCGGCTGGCAGGTTCTGAGTCCACATTTGCCGATTTGTGCCTCCTGATGGTGTGACAGGAGCAGAGACCCTCTTCTGGAAGACTGCCTCATCCTGCCCGAGTAGAGATGCTTTGCAGATTCCCTGGGAGACTGACTCTCTTCTCCTCTCTTTCCAGGTTCTCGACTGGACCGGGTTGGTGGCCTGAATGTATTAGCTTCACTGCGTTTGCCCAAGAGGTAAGGGCCACGGCCTCAGAGCTCTGCTTACTACTGCGCTCCGGGTCCTGTTCCTTCTCTGCAGCCCCTGCTTTCCCATCCTCTTCCCGGGGCTGCACCCCAGGAGAGCTGCCCTCCCTTGCTCTACTCTGTCCTCCACAAGGTTAGTCTGCTTTGCCTCTTCAGCCTCTGTGTGCCCTGTGGCTTTCCGGCCACACTGGTGGTTCTGGGTGCGGGTGACTGTGAGGGTTTCTACCAACAAGTGTCATGCTCAGTTGGAGACAGGTGGGTGACTTGGTGGCTCAGATCACAGGTTGGGGGCAGACACACTTGTGTCTGAACCGCTTTCCTTTCCCTTCTTCGCTCTGAGTGACTTGGGAGAGTCGGAGCCTCTGTTTTCCTCCTCGATGACGGGAACAATGACAGAACCTGCCTAAGCACCATCCCGAGACTGGAAGGCTAGGGAGGCAGTTGGTAACAGCTCCAGAGCCGGACGGCATGAGCTCTGCCTTGTGCCAGCGGTGTGATCCTCAGTTTCCCCACCTATCAAAGGAGGGTGATAACAGTACCCACCACACAGGATGGGAGGATGAAAGAAGTTACTCCACGGGAGCATGTGCCTCCGGAAGCAGGAGCTTGACAGACAGCTGGAAGACCCCCCTGAGCAAGTGAGGATTGGTGAGACCCCCTCCTCGGAGCCCACTGGGACTCCTGAACGGAAGCAGGAGTTCTCCAGCTGCTCAGCTCAGAAGGAAACAGGGGCTCCGGGCACGGGCTCCGGTGTTTGCTGCACTCAGCTCACTGAGGCCCTGCCAGTGAGCCGCCCCCACTCTGTGATGCCACCTCTGGTCCTCCCAGAGCAGCTTAACCCACAGGCCTCAGGACTGTTCTGGTTCAGGACAATTCTGGCTCCCCGGAGAAGGCACACTTCCTGTACTCAGATCCCTCCATTCCTTACGAGTTAGAACAGCAGCCCCAGATGGGTGTCAGGGAGTCTGTGGAGGCCTCTGGCTGCCCTCATAGGCATCCCACCTGGGCATCCTCGCTGTAGCAGAGGTCCCAGACTCACTTTAAGACGCAGATGGAAGTTGTAGTTCAGGCTTTACAGCCTGCTGCAGCGGGGACTGCGGTGGGCTACACAATGCTTTGGGGCGGAAGCCTGCTTTTCAGCTCCACTCACTGTCTCCCGCAAAGATGCAGATGCCCCTTGCCAGATTTTTCCAGTTTTCCAAAAGAAACCAGAAAGCCAGAATTTCGTGTGAAATCTCCCAATCTTTAAACTTCGGCTACTTAACAAAATTTCAAAAATGTCCTTGTGGTCCAAACCACAGAGTTTCGAGTAATCTTTGGCCCACAGATTTCTAGTCGTGCTGGAATTAGTATAGACTTCCTCCCGGGAAAACACATCCCTACATCTCCCCAGTTGTGTTGCAGCTCCGGATCTCCACGGACTCCTGCTGCCCATGCCTGGACCTGGTTCTGACTGGAAAGGAATGGAAGGGTCTGAATACAGGCTCTGTGCCTTCTCCGGGGAACCAGAATTGCAGCTTTCCCAGGAACACTCGCGTCCCATGATGCTCTTGACGTTGAAAAGACAGTCAAGGAGGGGCTGAGTCGGTAGGACACATGACCCTTAATCTCAGGGTCACGAGTGCAAGCCCCACATTGGCCATGGAGCCTACTTAGAATAAAATGAAAATAAAAACAAGAGGGTCAAGGAGCTTCCTGGTTGCAGAATTTGTCTGGGGGCTAGAGGCTGACTTGGAGGAACGCCTGAAAGTCCGGCTAAAAGAAGAGGCTGTTAAAGGAATTATGTTTCAGAGTTGGTGGAGGTTGCAGTCAAGCCTCTGGTATTAGCTCTTTGTGTTCAAACAGATATTTGTTAAGTATCCAAGGTCTCACGGACATATGCCTGACAGATTTGGTGACAGGTGCCAAGAGCTGTTGCATCCTCATGAGGACACTGAGACTTACTGGGCCACCTCCATGCCAGGGATTACCTAGTCTGGGCATTTGGCATTAATCCTCAGTGCAAACCTGTGGGCGAATGGTAGCCTCCTGTTGCCAGAAAAGGAAACTGAGGCTCAGAGAGGGGCAGCGGCAAGTGGCCTCAGGCAAGTAAGCGGTAGAGGTAGATTTTGCATTCAGGTCTGCCTGACCTGCGAGCCCTCTCTCCAACCTCACAGAACCCACCACTGGAATCTCAGGGTGGCCAATTCTGGGATCCTTGTTGCTCGGTTGGGCAGGTGGGGAGGGACGTGCTTTGGGGAAAACCCCTGAAGTCTTACTGGGTACCAGCTCTGATAAATTTAGCAACGGCGGGGCTGGATAACACTGGGGCTACCTGTGTTTTTTTTGATAGAACCTAGAGACAAATGTAATAACAGGAGATGTTTGGCTGATGGGAGTCTGTGAGTGGGCCCTGAAGGCTGTCACCAAAATATCTGTGTGGTTCACATGAAAGTTCATGCCGCCCCCCCACCCAAGGGAGACATGTTTGTAGGAGGCCATGCTCTCTTAGGTATGTAATTTTGTCACAAAACAACTACAACAAACATTGGCCCCACCCCCACTGTCTTTCCCTTAGACCCGCACTTGGAAGATGAGTGTTTCTGCATGGGTGCCTGGAGGCCTCCTCAGTGCAGGGACCTCCTCCAGCCCTGGAGGTGCTGGTCATCCTCTGTGCCCACGGGGCTCCCTCCCCTCCCCTCTGCCTCCCTCAGTTCTCCATCTAAGGCTCCCTGACCACCCCCTTCCCACCGCAAGGCTGCATTGGACCCCATTCCTGCTCCCTGAGTGCTGTTACCTCTGTTACCATATCTGATCATATATTGTGTGTGTAACTGCCCCCGCCCCCAGCCATAAGCTGTGGACACCCAGTCCCTGGCATAGTGTAAATGCTCAATAAGGATTTGCTGAAAGAATAAATAAGTGAGCACACGGACACATAAACCCACATCCATCCATTTATTCCTGCAGCCAACATTTTTTGGAGGTTTCTAGTGTGCCAGGCCTTGTGACTCGGGGCAGGGGGCAGACCCCTGTAGCCTCTGAGGGGCCCCAGGCTGGTGGGCAGTTGGGCATAAACACTACTACCCCAAACCCACAGGTCTGCCAGGCGCTGGGTCCAGAGAGAGCGCCATGTGACTGACCTGCCTGGGGTGGCCTCAGGCAGTCTTTGCGAGGAGGAGGCGGTGAATGGGCTCCTGAAGGGTTAGGAGAAGCCAAGGTGTAAGTTACTGTTCCAGTGGATTGGTCATTATTGGGGACTGTGGATTCTGGCCTGGCCAGCTACTGTCCATTGGGCATCTGAGGCCCTCCCAGTGCTGGGCAGGAAGCAGGTGTATCCCCACCTTGTCTCCTTCCATCCTTCCACAAAACGACGTGGTGGCCTTGGGTGTGGATGAGGCCCTGAAGTCTCACAGGTGGCTCAGACACCAGCACTCAGGCGTGCCTGGGGCCCCCGCACACCCTAAGGGGGAGTCTGGATTGCCTCAGACACACGAGCTCAGCTGGGGGTGACAGGCTTCTCTTGCTGGGTCTGGTGAGGGGTCTTGAGAGAACCCAGGGCTGCTTAAGAGGCGGGGACATGGAGCCACAAGGTGGTTGCCTCCTCCCCAGGGGTGACAGTATGGGTGCGGCAGCAGGATGCCCCAGGGTCCGAAATGCAGGCCTGGGTGGCATTGCAGGTGTTCTGCAGACCAGAACCAAGAAGTCAGTAGGTGGGGTCGGGGCTTTGCTTGGATGTCCCAGGCCCAGGTAGCCACTGTTCCGTTGTGGAGGGGCCTTACCAGCTGCAGGAATTGGGTGGGTGCTGGGTGGGCCGGAAGGAGGTGCAGTATGGGGGTGGCTCCTTGGACGTGGGTGGGCCCCACGGTGGGGACTGGGCTAGTGGTCCGGAGGGCGGCAGCGAGCTCCTGAGCGGTGTATGCCTTAGGCCCGTGTGCGTGTACGTGTGCGTACTGGTAGGATGCTCCGAGGTGTTACAAGATCGCTTAATCCCTTTGGCTGCCTTTGCTGTCACTAGGTGGGTGGAGAGAGCTGTCACCCACCCAGGACTGGGAGTGTCTGTCAGCCTCGGGGTGGGGTGAACGGATTTGGAGGAGGTGCAAATGGCCATTGACTGGCGGCAGTTTCAGGGACTGCTGGGTCCCAGGCATCCCAGTCCCTGAGCAAGTGAAGGCCCAAGTCCCCACCGTTCTGGCGGGCTTGGAGCCCCAGGGGCCAAGGGCAGGCACTTGGCTCTAACTCCACATAGGGGGCTGGTAGACAGAGGGCAGTCCACAGTCTGACCCTACGTAGCTTTAGCAAAGTTCCTTGCAAGTCATGATGAGCACTCCCAGCCCACCCCCTGGCATTGTCCAGCTCACATTGTCTCTGCTTCTGGCTTCCTTCCTCTCATCTTCCTCATCCTGGGGCTCCACCCCTGTCCCCTTCTTTTTTCCTTTGCTTGGTTTCATCCGGGTATCTGCTTCTCCATGGTACCCCGCTCCCTCCTTGTTCTGAGCCTGGGTCTCTTTCCAGTCTTGCGAGTAGGGTTTGTACAGGTCCACATCTAGCTTTCTGTCTCCAGAGAGAGTTACACAAAGATGTAGACCTGGCAGGGATGGCAGGGGCGGGGGGGGGGGGGGGGGCGGGGGGGGGGGAGAGAGAAGGAAAAACAGTGCTTGAGGGAAAAACAAGAAAGGAGGTGCTCCCCTCTTACCCAGCCTCACACCCCAGGACAGCTTCTGAGAACTGGCATACGGCCATCTGCCCACCTCTGGGGGCATGTGTGGACAGGAGGGCCAGAGGGGTCACCTGAGAAAGGGAGAGAGAGACCGGGAGACTCAGGGAGCACCCTGCAACAGAGAAATGCCTAGAGTGGGGGAGCAGCTGAGAAGAGCAGACAAAGAGACCAGGAAATAGCAAAAAGTCAGCCTGGAGAGCAGAGCAAGGGGCTCAGAGACAGTCAGAAAGAGTGTGCAGATGAGGTCGCAAAAGTGAGCTGCTACGGGTGAGGGCCCCTGGCCTGGGGGCACATCAGGGGGATAGTGGGAGGCACATCCTACACCTGGTGCCTGGGGCCCCATCCTTCACCAGGCCGAGATGGGACAGAGACTTGCACTTGGCCAGGGTCCCTGGTGGCCCCTGGTGTGCATGTCTTATAGGTGGAAGGAGAGACTGCAGGGACTGTAGGAGGACCACCACCACTGACCACCCCCTCCCCGCCCTGCCTCGTGACCAGAAGCCTAGTCTGCTCCCACCACTCCCTATCTGTCCGTCCAGCCCCCTGCCTTGGCTCACAGGGGCCTGGAGGACCGTGGGCCCCTAGGGCTTAGGCACCCTGATGGGGCCAGGCCGGGCCGGGGTGGGGCCCAGAGCCCAGGAAGAAAGCTGCAAGAGTGTGCGTGTGTGTGTGTGCGTGCGCGTGTGCGTGTGTGCGTGCATGTGTGTGTGTGTGTGAGCGGGAGCGCACAGGCACGCAAGAGGAGAAACCACTTTGCACTAGGCCTCCCTTAGCTCCTGTCTAGCGTTGCGGCCTCAGTGTCTCCCGTGTTCCCAACTTCCCTCCACCTCCAGCTGCCTGGCTCTCCGTCTCTCCTCTCTGGGCAGCTGTCTCTGCCTTTCTGTCTCGCTCTCCCCGTCTGTCCTGCTCTCCTATGGCAATCTTTCTGTGTCCCTCTGTGCATCGCTCCTGTCCCCCCAGCCCCTCAGTCCTCTGCGTCTCTGGCCCCCATCCTCGCTTAAACAGCGCGGTTCCATCTGTGCCTTGCCTGTGCTCTCTCTGTCTGTCTGGTCCCGTGTCTGTGTGTCTCCCCACCGCCCCATTCGCCCTTCCTCTGCTCCTTTTCTCCTCCATTGCCTCCTGTGTCTGGGTCTCTTCCAGTCTCTTTCATCCTTGGTCTCTCCCGTCCCCATCTCTCTGGGTCTCTGGCTGTCCATCCCTGCCTCTGTGTGTGTGTCTCTCACTCCCCCTCCCTCCCCCCCTTTTTTCTGTTTCTAACACCCACACTCACATCCTACCTCAGGAGTAATTGCTTTTGTCTGGGTTGGACTGGACTTGTGGTGGGGGGAAGGCGGGGGGGGGGGAGGGAAGAGCGTGGGGGGGGTGGGGAGGGACGGAGGTCGCTTGGTGGAGTCGAGGTGGCGTCCACCAGAGCAGGGATTGCTGAGGAGCAGAGGTCCGGTACCCAAGTGGGGAGGGGGCGGGGGCCCTGGGCCCGTCCTGGCAGGGATCGGGGCCTCCAGCAGAGGCAGCTGGCCCTCACATGTGGATTTGGAGGCGAGGTAGCTGTAGCGATAGATGGGCCAGCCAGCCGTCTCTGCTGCCTCGCTACCCTCCTCCACTCGGAGAATCCCCCCCAACACTGTCAGATGCACCGAGTCATCATGACACACACAGGACACACCCAGAGCCTCCAGCCCACTCGTGGAAAAACACCTGGCCCTTGGCACAAGGGGACACGTGGCATCACGTAGACACACAGAAGGCACACCGGGTCTCTGGCTCTCAGGAAGAAAGAGGCTCCGATCCCATGCGGAGGCAACCACACCTACCACCATCCATAGACATAGGCACAAGAGCCACACACACGTGGACACCTGGGGACTCGCTCTACGGTCCCCCCACTCTCACAGAAACATCCCCGCTCGGGCACATGCGGGCGGTGGCTCGCACACGCAGATTTCCAGGAACATCAGAACACACAACCAGCATGCTCCGTGGGCACAGGAGGTCACTGAGGGGCTCCTGGGGTACACACACAGCCCTCCAAGGGTTCAGACAGTTTTGCGTACACGCATTCAGACCTTCGAGGATGCCCAGGGTTGGGGAAGCACACACATGTACACAGAGCCCCGCGTCCATGGGGACACACCTACATACTCGTGGTCACACAGACATGACTCAGTAGCTGAGACACCCTGGAGTCCTGGAGTTCCACAGCAGAGCTTTAGGACTCAAAGACACACGGCCACCCAGGTTTATAGGAGACACACACACACCCTAGGCATATGGCAACTCGGACACCATAGCTTGTCCCTGGAGCCTCCTGCTGGAAGCCTTACAACACCATCCCCCACGACCCCCGCTACATACACACACACACACACACACACACACACACATACACACACGTGCGGGCCAGGCCCTGGGGCGAGGCCAGGGCAGTGTCTGCCCACAGAGACCCAAGGATGGGGCAGCCAGGGGCTCTGTGGTTGGGCAGCAGCCTGCCTGGGGGTGGCCCCGGTGCTCTGGGCACCCACTCACCATACCTTACTCTGCACATCCCCGGGCCTTCCCCCGCTCCCCTCCAGGTACCCCTGCCCACCTCCCAGAGGCCCATCCCTCTCATACCCTCAAAGGGCCCCATCTCCCCGAACTGCTCCCAGCTGAGGGGATGCCTGCTTTCTTCCAGGGGGACTGTCCCTCAGTTTGTCCTACCCCCCTTACCTTATCAGTGTGACCCCCATCCCCATCTGCTTCCCTGCCCACTCCCATACTCACCCCCTCTCCTGGCTGTCCAAGCTCTCAGCCTCCCTAAGCTCTCTTGCTGTAGGGGGGGTGATTGGCGGTGTGGGGGGGGCTTGGCCCCTCAGAGGCCTGGGTAAGGGGGACATGGGGGGTGGGGGACCTGGGTGAGGCTCTGAGAAAGGGAAGGAAGGCAAGCGGGGAGAGAGGGAGAGGCAGAGGCAGAGGCAGGCAGCCAGCCAGCCGGCTTTATATCCCTGCCGTATTGATCTACCATGTCACAGCCCCGGTCGATAGCCAGCCGAGAAAGAGAGGGAGAGAAGGGAGGGGAGGTTTGGGGGAGGGCAGCGGGACCCCTATAGTCCTTGGCCCATCTGGGGCCTCCTTGGCGGGCTGTGGGGCCATGTTCCAGCCAGCCCACCCCCCCCAAAAAGAGGCCAGCCGTATCCTTCCCCACCTCCCCTTGGCTGCAGCCCTCTCCCTGGGAACCACCTTGGTAGAAGAATTTAAGCACTCAGAATTTAAGCACTAATCTTTCTGCCTGGGGCAGTTCTTCCTCTCTTATGGGCATGGGGTTTGGAGGGACTGGAGGGGTAGGTGGGGGTGCTCAGAAGTGTTCACTGCCTTGGCATCCCTCTGCCCTCCACAGTCGGGCTGGGCAGCTGGGAGGCTTTGAGGTG